TCTACAACACCACAAAGGCCCTCGGTTCCTTCAAAGTGGAAAATGGACAGGAAACTCTGTGATTTCATCATCACAAAATATTTCTGTTGCAACCCGAACCTGAAGCCAACAGGCCTGCAGACATTAAGGAGGCTGCATGATTGACTGGAATGGGGTAAATAGACCTGTCAGTCTTTTCACAGTCCCGACAGAAATGCCTGCGGTTTGAGTGATGGAAGATGTCCCTCTTGCACAATCCCATACATTACAAACTCATTCATATTTTGGCGCAGACCTCCTTGTAATATCTGACAATGCTTCAGGGATTAGAGGTTCATGATTCAAGGCTGAGCCTTTTGTCTTTGCAACCAATTCAGATTCATCTCCAGTCTCTCATGATGGCTGATGCACTTCAATGGTCATTTCAAAATAGCACAAAATAACCCATTTGATGCTTTTCCAACATCAGCCAAATCAAATGCAAAACAATGACTCCATACGTACCCGAAACTAAATGTCAGAGCAAGAAAGGACTGACATTTGACTTCCTGATGGATGTCATTATGTCACTAGGCAACATAGCATGAATGTCCTGCCTGAATAAAAAGAGCTATTGTTGGACTGCAATCAATAAAAGAGAGCTAGTTTTTTTTGCAAATAATGCACATGAAAAACAAATGGCACATACTAATCAGCCTTTTTTGTTGTAGAATAGCGGTAAAAATCCCTTTTGAGCTTACTGTTTGCATTTTGTCTTTTCAAAAACCCTTTTGGCAGTGTAGCAGGTAGCTATTTGTAACAGCCAAAACGAACAATTATTTTATAAAGGTTTAAACAGACACACAGGCCAATTTTATAATGGGTCTACATGCATTTAGAATCATATCAAGGTGATTTGTTTGGTTTGGAAAATACAAAAAAAGCAGAAAGATCAGAGCTGAATCTTACGTCACCGGATTAGATCTGTGACATTGGCCCTTCCCTTCACATCAGGTCACAGGCTCCATGTCACATGGCACCAGGGCTCTGACCCCTCTGTGGTGACATGTTACTCTAAGGTCAGTCGGGTCGCTCAATTAGCAAAAGAGACAAAGACCTGGGCATAAAGGAGGCGAGAGACCAGCCGTCCCTTCCAAACCACAGTGCTCTCTGTCACCCGTGTGTGTCTGCTTGTCTGGCCAAGCCCTCATTTAGCGGTTCACTGACTGGAGATGTGCCCGCTGCTCTTCACGGAGCGTGCGGTGACAGCCAAGAGTCACTAAAGTGCTGAAGAGTCACTCCTGTGCCACATGGCGGGACTGTCGGCGAGACTATGATCTTACATTGACGAGTCAAAAGTCTGGTCTTGAATTGACTGGCACAAGCATTAGTGTCAGAAAGAGTCTGATGTCAGACAAACTGGCATCGACGGACGCACATGCTGGGAGAGGAAATAAAGCTGCTCTTTGGTTTAGTTACAGAACATGCAGGGGAATGTATGCAAGCATATGTGTTTATGCAGTATAGCTTATGCTGTTACACAAACATCAAGGCGTTCATTCATATGTCTTCGGCATCCCGTGCACACACCCTCTGACACTAGACGCCCATCTCTTTTCCATCTTGCCATCCCTCTCATAGACACTCATCCAGAGGGAATGAAACAGAGGAAGATTTCAGCTGAGAGCATGATTGTAGTTGGAGGTATTTTTAGGTGAACCTCATTCAGATAGAGGTGTCTAGAGGGCTCAATCAGAGTTTAAACCCTCCTCTATTCACAGAGCGATCTGGTATGTACTTAGTATCGTTTTCATCCTGCAGCAACAACCACACATATTGCCCGTGTACTTTGATGATGAAGACAACTTGCTGTCAGAACAGATTGTTCCCTGTGCTTCATCTACAGCTCTCATAAATCTAGAATATGCTTCGAAACGTTGAGCAAACTTATCGCAAAAAGATTTATGGTACACTGCTGTAATCCTTGTCCATCGGCCTTTTACCACTCGAGCCCCGTTATGAAAGATTAATTCTACTTGCAAACTTGCAAGCGCTTAACTACAGTAAGTACAGCACAACAGCTGGTCCTGTAATTTCCATAAGAATACAAACCACCGCAGCTGCGCTCACCAGCATCTGCTGAACTGTTTATGAAAATAAACAGTGCCGATTCCCATAAACATCCTCATAAAGTCATTAACTATCTCCGAAATTTACAGCACTGAAAAATGCATTAGGCCCTGCCTTGATTTGATAGCACTAAATTTCTCGGCTCATAAATATATTTATATAGTCTATTCACAGAGCGCACCAATTACAAGGCGAGCAGGGAAATTGTCAAACAATGTTTCGACATGTTTAATAACATTGGGGTATGATTTGTCAAGGCAGTGCACCAAACATAGCCGCTAATGAGTAGCAATGTAACACAGAGGCTGCCTGGCCAAATCACGGGGCCTTGGAGGACTATTCAACCATTGTCAACAATTTCACTCTCAGTCCTCACGCAAAACGACAGAGACCACCGTTAGTGGATAGCACTTAGCTAATGGCTCCCTTTTGGCAGCCGTAATTACACAATGATTAGCTTTACCCACTTCAAACTTTCACACTTCACCTTGTGTTCCTGTAATCTGCAGTGAGCAGGTCTGGGAACAGCTATGCAGACCGGCCAGAGCCAGACTTGTTCAAAACGGCACCTTCACGTTGTGGATTCTACGTGTGGAGATATATTTAGTTAGTGCTAATCCAAGTGAATCCAATGCTTCCTGTCAGGCAAGGTACTGGCAGACTACATAAACACATTAGTGGACCTATATGTTTAGAAACCTTCACTACTGTAATCTAGAGTTTATTGAGGTCCAGACGAAATTAATGATTAGCATGCTTCTGTCGAATGAACAATACCTTAAGTCAACCTGCATGAAGACCAAGTATGTGTCTGTTGGAGTGGTATCAAGGTTTGTCATACAAACAGTATGCAGTATTTGGTATATGATGAGAAGCATTTTTATACTGAAGAACTGAAAAATAAATTCGTAAATTTGAAATAGTCAAAACAAGTCTATGAAACATGTCTTTTGAAAAAGCATTCATAAAACTTTTACATGTATTCAACATGTCTTGAAGGAAGTTCAACAGCAATGAATGAATAGTAGACAGACAGACAGACAGACAGACAGATAGACAGATAGATATATAGATAGATAGATAGATTATGTCTAAATAAATGTCAAATAGAAAAATAGTTTAAAAAATACTTTTTTTTTATATTTAAATAAAATACATAAATTTATATTTTAAATACATTTACAGTACTATATACATAAAAAATAGTTACAAAGTCAGAATGTTTATCTTAAATCACTACTCTCATACTCTGTCACATCATTGGAGGGAAATTGTTGTCGATTTGAATGTCTGATGAGATGCCGCTGGTGGTCTGCCACTGGAAGTTGAACATATGGGAGGGGAGGGCTTACCGGGTGAAAGGCTCAGCCATCTTACTATTTTACAGATAGCCATGCATATGTTGGCAATAACCACAGGTTGTAAAGCATCCTTGCAGTTACAGTCGAAATATGATACTCCAGTGCTGGGTACTATGAGCCAAACTATCTGATAATTGATTAATTAATTTAACATAATTAAAGAATAATAATCTTTTTAAATACAGATACATTTCTTTCTTTTCAAATAGAAAAAAATAGGATGTATGAATTCAAATTAGTATGAAAAATTCTGCTTAACATTTTGAACAACTGAGCAATGCAATGCTTTTGTTCCTGGTACAGAGACAATAATGTAAATGAGAAACATGCTAACAAATGGGAACCCTGATGTCACAGCAAATGAACAGTTTTAGTAACAGCTGATAAAAAAATTAAAATAAAATCAATAATGGCAAAACAAACATAAGAATTAAACGAAGCTTCTTAATGACTGCATTTGGGCGCAGTTGTCAAGTTATTTTGCCCAAAACTTCCCAAGCCAAATCAATAAATATCCTCTTGTGTTGGTTTCCACCATCAATCCTCAGCAGAGCTAAAAAAGAGAAGCATACCTTCCTTTATTACAATATTACAACAGCAAGGCGAAGGGCAGGCACCTGAGACTCCTGCTTTGTAGCCAGATAGTTCTTTATTTGTTCTCTAGAGGACTTATTTACCCCAGCCTTCAGCCTAGATGCTCAAGCCACTACATTTGTGGCCTATCCACCTTGACACCCCCTTCTTCGCACATGAAGCAGCATAAGAAGTCTGATTCAAGTGATTTCTCTTTTTTTTCCAGTCAAGTTAAATGGTGCACCGTGTGTTCTACTGGATGGCAGGAATTGAAACATTTAAAAAGCCAACAGCGATAAGCCAAGCACAGACACCCCGCAGACAGACCACCTCGCCTTGGAGACACATAAGCGTCTGTGGCTTTGACAGCATTTTCATCACACCCCCTTCCCTCCTTCACCATCTGTGAATGTGCCCGGCAACATCAAACCGAGTCTGAGAATCGAAAGCCAGAGACAAACCAATCCAGGGTACTACCCTCCACTGGAAAAAAAAAAACGACTGTCACTTGTAGCAGAAAAAGAGTCACTTGGCGTCTGTTAACGTGCATTGTGCAGGTAATGTTTTTCTCCTTTTCTCTCAAAAGGAGAGGCCAGCGTCGATGCCATGTGTGTAGTTAGAGGCTGCCCTGGCAGCAAGCGCTGCTTGCACTTGCATCAATTACAGCGGATGGGCCTGACAGCTGTAATTACATACCTCAACACTGATTATGTGCGGTCTGTCATGGAGACCAGCAAGGCACCGATTTTCATGCACTCGTTTAAGCAGTCAGTTGTCAGGGCAAAGTGGCAAAGCAGGAACAGCCCTCTTCAAGAAGGAGGAAGGGAGGGAAAGTGGCGGGTTTTCATTTTTGGGTGAACTATCCCTTTAAGTGGCACAATGATACTGATATGGCTACGTTAGAGGAGGAAATGAAGGAAAGGAAACCTGGCAGTAGGGGAAAAAAATAACGTTGAGCTCAAGTGCACAGCTGATGCATTGAGCTCACTGAATCAATTCCAAGGAAAATCAAATATGCTATTAATATATAATTCACTGTCTACGCAAGTTAAATGCCTTTGGCGATCACATGGTAAAATAGTAACCATTTTTTGTTCACTAGCTAACTAACGTGAAATTAAGACTTAAAAAAAATGGCAACGGCAGCACTCCAACATATATCGCGGTTGTGTTTCAGGCAAACCGAGTTTGAGTCCTGACTCGTGGTCCTTCCTGGTCCCATCCCCCCACCTCTCTCTCTTACTTCCTGTCTGCCTTCCGTATTGTCCTGAATAAATAAAGGGAAAAACTAAAAATAAAAAAACTGTCATATTTTGGATGCATTTCAATCACTCTCGAGCACCAGTCTCTTAAAAGAATAAAAATCTCCCTGTGCCCTAGCCATGCCACCCTCGCCCTTTTCAAACCCCCCATCCCAGACATCCATATTCCAACCCCCAACGCTCGCATTAAAAGCCTGGCCAATCCAGATGTGAGTTCGGGCAAACTGCCAAACTGTCTGGCAAAAAAAATTTAAATCTCTGAAACAAATACAGTAGCTATGATTTCACCAAGCATTTGGACTATACAGAGAAACAGTCTCATCTACAGCTCATCTACAGCATTTACATAGCTGTCATTTAGTGCGTTTACATTTCTCACCCATTATAGTTACGTGTAATCTCATGTAAACATCTTAAAGTGTTCTTTTATGGGCTGAAAGTCATAAAAGGTTTAAGTAAAACCCAATCTGTACACTTAGATTTTTGCCCACACCCCCAGATTCATTCTTTCATTATTTAACATGCACATTCATTGGTATTTTAACATCAAAACTGAAAAAAAAAAAAAACTCTTTAAAAACTCACAATTTTCTTGTGCTATAACTAGCTGATTTTTGATTGTAAATGCATTCAATAATTTCATTTTAAAAGGAAAGTACAATATAGTGATCAAATCGATCAAAACAAACATTCTCAAATGTTTTATGCTGAGAATTGACCAAAAATGAAAGAAAGCTTGACAATTTGACGTCTCATTCACATACAGGTGTCTAATTGTCTATTACAAAGGAAATTAAATACAATTATTTTTTAAATAAAGTTCACCTCTACTAGGTAACTCTTGTTGGGGACATCACGATGAAAGACACAACAATGATTACAAGCACAAAAACACACACTAAAAAAAAACTTTGCTGTGGAAGAACATTAAGACTAGTTAGGCCTACCTGTCCTCCAATATTAACTTGTTAACTCCCTGGTTACATGATTTCAAAGAGACAATTGGCCCACTGAAAGACAAATGAAAAGAAAACATGTTAGAACAGAGAAGCTGAAGCCAACTGCATAAGTTTGTCATGTCTAAACATTAATGCTGAATTATTTAAGGAGGTCTGGGTGTTTATATTACTTGATTTCAGTGAGATTTTTTGGTATCTGGGCACTAGTATTTCCTTATGACCAGTTAAGATGCGTTTTCAATATATTGTATTATGCCATCACTGAATTTCTGAATTTCTGCAAACCATAATAAGCAAACGCCTGTGCTTATAAGCTCTCACTCTTCAGTCAATTCAGCAGTGTGAGGTATGAGTGCTCCCTTTTCAGTGACCTTCAATAGCATATTGATTTCTGCGATACAAATGTGGCCACTCATAGCCCAAACTCTCATGTGCACAAGTTTCATTGAACTGCAGTCGCTTTCTCCCATAAAACCTCCAAAGCCGTAATCACAAAAGTAATAAAAAGCACACTGTTTTGCGGCAACAAAAAACAAACATAAAAACACCTAAGTGAGAGTGTGCATCGCTATTTGTCCGAACGCATTATGAGGATAATGGCATTTAATCCTCACGTCAACCCCCACCCAGACTCGTTTCACACACCCCCGGCCTTACAAAGACCATCCTCCAATAATAAGCTGTCTAGTCCTTGGCTTCCAGGCTTTTGTCATATTGCCTATCGACATGTTAGATTAAATAAAATTTCACATGTCAATTAAATGAGTGTTGCCCGGGTGATTAGCAGATCCCACTAATTGTCTCCCTCCTCCTCCACCATAATTTTCCACATGGACGAACAGGAAAGAGGGCTTTGTCCAACAGGGCCCCCATCAAACATGTCGAAGATGGGTCTTTACGTCCTCCTCCACTTCTTCCCATTCTCCTGGGGAGAAGCCGACAAAGAGAGGGATGAGGTGGGGAGATGAGATTGGAAAAGGGAGGGATTGGATTCACTTTTCAGGGCGCCCCGCTCAGTTCGGGCATCATGGAGTGATGGGGTGCGATGAGAATGCAAACAGTGGGTCCTGGACTTCCCGACGCACGGCCCCATTCACACACTCCCACACGTGCACCATCACTGATAATTACCCAACTGGCCCCCAGAGACAAGACGAAAGTTCTTCAAAGACTGGGCCACTAACAGTTTTAGACAGGGGCCAAGGCACTCCCAAGGTCTTCCTTTTCCACATACTCTAATTTCTTTCTTCCCTGACATATGGTTGTTTTCCTTGCCTTAATGAACATGTTCTCTGGATATACCTCACATTTGGTCCATCACATCAAAGGGGTGATGTTAGAGCATCTGGTTAGCTTCGGTGGATCTGAGATGATGGAAAGCAGTTTGTTCTTGCTCTAAAATAATATATCTTTGCAAATATATATAGGCTAATCTATGCAATTCTGCTGTCCAGTTTCATTGCAGCATAAGGCTGGTTATTACAAACAACTTGAAGTGTGCTACTTGTAATTTTGATGTTAAAATTCTTTCTGCTGTCCCATTTTGAAGGGATAGTTTAGGCAAAAAGGAAAGCTGTCATCAAGATCTTCTCCCACTCAAATTGTTCATAACCTGTATGTATCTTCTTCTGCAGAACACAAAAGATCATTTGAAGACTGTGGTCCGAAAAACACTGGATCCCACTCACATTCAATGAAAACAAGAAAAAAAATGTTTACAGAAGAAAGAAAGTCATACAGGTTTGGAACAAAATTAGGGTGAACTACTCCTTTTAATGTGCCTTGCAACACTGACCCAAAACCAATGCCATCCGTTTGTGGCAGACAGTGGGAGTGATGTCCTGTGAAGTGAAACCTGTCTGAAAACAGTAATTGTTTTTGCAATTACATCTGAAATTCCAAATATATATATATTAAAGCTGCACTCCAGAATTTTGCCCTCTCTAGCACCTTCTGTGGCTAAAACATAAATGTGCAAGTTAATGGCAATGTTTTAATTATTATTATTTAGCTTACATATCATAAAAATATGTATGAACAAGTGTATAGTAGTATAAACAGCATAAACATACAAGGACAAATTAGGTAAACCTGAAATATCCTGTCAAATCCATCACTATTTATGTACAAATAGTTTTGTATTTTTACCTCAAAACTCTTCTGTAGTGCAGCTTTATCCTAGAAGTACAAAATACAGCACAAAATACAGTTTTAATACATAATTTTGAGGAATTCGAAAACCCAACCTGACTCAAGTTTTCAGACTTCACTCAAGTGATCACACTCTCTTTGCCTCATTCTCTCCTCTAAGTGATTAAGGAGTCTGGTCAAAGAGGACACAGCCCTGTTTGCACTGCACTTTCTCAAGTGTACACAATGGAAATTGTGTCCCATTGAGTCCAAATTTGCTGGAAGTCTCATTTAAAAGGAGTACAATGAATTGGCTATATGGTCTAGTTTTTGTGCTGAGGCAGCAGACCATAGGACTAATAATAGATGAGGGGAATCTCACATCTGAGTCTACCTCACACACTGAACGTCGACAGGAGAAACATGATGGGCATGAGTGTAACATTTATCCGTACTCTAAATTCATTCACTCAGAAATCACGCTCACTCTCCCTCCTTTACACACTGCATTTTCCCAGAGGCCCGTATTATGTTTGTGTCTGTAAGTGTGTAGGCAGTGAGTGCCAGGTTGTCGTGTGTAAGTGCTCATGCATGAGTGTGTGTGTGTGTGTGTGTGTATATGAGTACAAGAGAAGCAGCCGACACAGACAGTATCTTGAACAAATCTCAGTGGAGAGTTAAAAGACTGTCTCTGAATCTGATTATACCAATGAATTCTCTTCTCCACACATTACTTTCCACATGAACACATAAAATGAAAATATGACACCAACTACTACATTTGGCCTAAAAATGCCATCTTGTTAATGCCCTCAAATTATTCATAACACTGCTTAATCTCCAAGTATGAAGTGAATATAATTTATTCTATTAAATGTTGTTAGTCTACACTTTTTATATTTCCAACCTGTAAAATGTAAAGCATTTTAGCTATTAATCTTTAGTGATTAGTCATTTGACTTTTTGTTGATGTGATCATCTTGTGATACAATCAGATAAAATAAAAAAGTCCATCTTATTTTTGATAAACTACTAAAACAAATAAACTGTTATTTTTTAGCGATTTTAAAGACTTAATTTAGTTAATTATTTAAGAAATCTGGTAGAGCTATTTAATCAAATGTATCATTTCTTGACAAAATAAAAGAATACAATTATTTCAAACTGTTATAAATGACTTAAGTCTACCAATGCCTTGACTAATTGCTAAAATAAATACATAAAATAAAAACTTTCCATATCATTTTTGATAAACCGATAAAATAAACAAGCCAAATATTCATTTATATCAGTTTGGAAGACTTTTACTTTATCTATTTAAATAGTTTGCCAAGAAATTAGACATATCGTTAAAAAAAACTGGTCTACAAAATGTCTTGACTAACAAAATAAAAAATATATTTACATATACAATTAAATGAAATATTAAATTAAATTTAAATTTAAATTAAATACCTAAATAAATAAATTCCACCTTATTTATTAAAGTGCTAACATTTTTTGTAAAGTGGCTGAACTTAGTTTTTAATGCATCTCAAAGCAGTAAAAACTGCAACTACAGTCATTAAAGTCTGCAAAGGGCTGTGAATAAGAGTGGGAAGGCGGTGGGCGGGGATTTGAGAGGGGGGGGTTAGGTTTCTATGGCAACACTGAAGTTCAAGTCCCACCGTGTACTGGAGAAAGTAGCAGAGCTCTGGAAGTTTCCATCCATACAGCACGGATAAGCCCTTTGTTGGGGGCTGGATGGGGTAGAGTGTATGCAAGACATGTTTTGCTGGCTCAGGACTGGCCCCGTAATATTAAATAAATCATGGACATAGGCTCCTGAGGGACAGGGCTGTGTAGTGCTCGGGACAGGACCCCTAATGTCTAGAAGGGGTTGGTCTTAGACTAGCACTAATTTGACACAGCGAGGTAATCTGACAAAACTGTGGGGCTTCTCTGCTGTGTCACAATGTGTAAGGGCCCTTGTATTTAAGGATGGCTGCTTTCACAGCGGAGTTAATTAAGGTACAGTTTAACACAAATTGCTGAGGACAGAACCTAATTAATGGCCTTGAGGGTCAGAGAGCCACCTTAAGCCTTGCAATCTGAACTGTGAGTCTATAAGCTGGGCTGACATGGGAAAACTAACTTAACAGAGAAGCCATTCTGTGTTCTGCACCAATATACAGTAAATCACAGCAAACTCAGAAAATGGAAATATCTGTTGTGCCTAAGAGACTTGAGAATAGATTCCATCAATACAACAGATCAATACCGTCTCTTACCTCTCTCACAACTCTGACACACTTGATATGTCTTGGTCGGGCAAGTGCAGTGAGTCACACTCAAAAGATAACATAAAAAGAAAGTCAGCTTTCAACATCTGACAATGATTGCAAATGATGCGCCTCTTCTACAATAGGTAAAGGCTACTCCCCTTAGAATATCACTCATGAGTGGTACAGAATCTAAATTCCACCAAAGACAAACACCCCATGCCACCTGTGACAAAGAATAAAACAAGGTCAATATTTAAATCTTTTTTAAAAATTCTGTTTATCCTTCCAAAGGCAAACATTCTTAAGGCAGAAATCAGAGCACTTCCTGAATCAATGGCTTCTTGCCTATATTCAAAGAATAAGGAATGTGTCCAGGGGCTAAATTAATATTTTGGAGTTACCCATAGCCATATAGTATATACACACTACAACAAAACATACCGGGTGGACTTAGGTAATATTTTAATACAGTTTTACAATGACATTGTATTTTTGATTGATAATTTATTAAATTTTTTTACTTAAAAAAAACAAAAAAAAACCAATATAATATGAAATAATACCATAAAATATATCAAGACATATTTGGTGGGCTTGGGTAATATTTTATACAGTATTTACAACTGTATTTTTTACATTTCTTTAGTTCCTTTTTTT